AATCTCGTTCGCGCAATAAGAAAGCATCAACGTGATATTTATTGTCACGGCAGTATTATTCCTTTCCCGTGCGCTCGTCGACTGAGGATTAACTCCGTCATTTGCGCGTCTAATAATTATCGCCGGTTGCTAATAATTTTACGACGTAGTGCAATTTGGTTCCGCCGGCCGAGCGCCGGGGAGCCGAGTCGCTGCGCGCGAGGATGTTTGAGACGCGATCAGCTTATTCCACTCCGATGAACGGCCAAGTAACAATGATGCGATTAAGCCCCTTGGCAAATTACGCCATTACACATTAGCTACATGTCTGTTTGGCTCTGCCTCTTGGCACTGCGCTTCCGCTCCGTGTACTTAAAGCCCAGGCAAGTCACGCGTGGCAAATTGAACATACAGCGAATGTCGCGCATTTAGCGTGAATACACGTGCTTTCATGGCGACCGTCCAATGTTTACCATAAATCAGAGACAGCGGTGTGTGCGCGCGCACATGCAGGTGATCTAATTTAATGCCCGCCGATGTGAGACTTAACGGTCGACGGGGATATAGCAGGTCCGATAAGATTGACGAGTGCGAAGCCTTCGATCGACGCCTGTCGCCTTGCTACACGATTCTCGGGTGATCGCGGCAGATAGTCATAAATAGATAATCGCAAGCAGGATATGGTGTATTTATCGACGTGTTAAGCTCTAGCGGGGTTAATCATTATCGCCGCGAGATATTAACGTTGACAGCACGGTGTTAATGTCTTCCATTCGATCGAATGCCTGTCGTCGTTACGTGCGTCTCACAAACATATTTATTAACATCTCTGTCGATTTTCTCCTGTAGTAGAAATAATAATGGGAAAGACGGCGAAAGAGAGAGAGAGAGAGAAAGAGAAAGAGTGATTCGGTCGATTTGTGGCCAGTAATCGACAACGACTGAAGTAATGATTAGCGGAGGTAGATGCTGCGATTAGGAGAAATGACAGTCCGCGCGGCGCAACGGAAGCGATCTCGCTGGGAAAAATCAACTTTTGCTGCCCCGCGTGCCTTGGGAGATCTTCGGCGTTGCGGATATTCACCGTTGTTCGTTCAATCAAAGTCAGGGGGGTCGCGCGATCGAAACGTTGAAACGTTCATCATCGGGGCTTCGGTCTCGGGGATTCGATTCGTGGACAATCAAACGTGCGTCACGAACGACAATTAATATCCGCGAAGTACTGTGCGCTGTGTCGGGATTCGAGCTTATTGCATTCCCTCCTCCGTTAACGAGAAAACGATGCGACTGGCGTGCGGGCGAAGAAACTGCGACGGCGCTTATCGCGACGCGACCACGCTTATCGATCGCTGTGCCTTCGAAAAATGAGTCACTGCCATATTAGGAAAGATCATTGACAGACGTTATCATGCGTGTGAATAAATGTGAACGTCGAAGCGATCGAATGAAGCAATTAAATGAAGCTTAATTAATTGAATCCAATGAATTTAACCTACGCGTTAATTAATAAATTGATTAATTAAACGCAACTATGAGAAGCAAAGAGTACATGATATCCGTCCTTCTGTCGATTAATTCGAGACTGAGTAAAAAGACTAATTGGCCAGGCTTAGCGTTTTTTACTTAAAAATTTAGATTTTAATAATACCTTTAAACGAAATTGTGTCTTTATTAATTGAGTAAAAAAAAAATCGAATGTTACATTCGCGTAATAAAATTTAATTATGCCGAACGAGAGAAGAGTCGGAAATAGAACATGACAATAGATAATTTATTTTTCACGCAATTTCGCTTAATTATCCTAACTTCCGAATAAGAATAACGAGTAACAGATGTTCATCGATAATAACAAGCTTCCCGTTCGCAAAGATGTTTTTCATTTCCTGACGTCTTTTCTGTGGGAAAAGGCAGCCGGTGTATTCGAGAGAGAGAAACGTCGAATACTTTTGCATCGCAGTATTGAATCCTTTGCTTTGCAACAGAATAGTTATACGTTTCCATGTTCGCAAATGAAATATCGATATTACTAATTTATTTTTTATTTCTATAGTTATTCGACTGATGTAACCGGAGTATGAAACTGGTTTATCTCTCTTCCTCCCTCTCGTTTTCTCCCGTTCTCTCTTTTTCTTTCTGAAATCTGTTAGTTTTCTTAACCCCGTTACGCGGTCGCCATAAAATTAAGTCGGCACTCGTGACTGCCAAGATCATGTGCGTAGGTTTCACTTTGTGCGTGCAACCCTATGATATCACGATTGAAAAAACACTCCGGCGGCGGAGCCCCGGAGGAGAGTTGGCTGTCTACCAGAACGCGATTAGGCTACAACGTGCTCTACATGTTATGTTGCAACCACGTTTAACCGCGCGCGCCGTGCCGCCTCGTGCAACGCAAACATTTCGCGCTAGCGATCTTCGCGCGCGCGCGTCCAACGCATAAATTTCGTCGCGCGCGATGCGGCGTGGCGTGGCGCGGCGGGTATTTCGGCGCGCGTAAACCGCGAATCGACGTGTCAACGAAACGCCGGGCGATTCCCTCGGCGAGGTTCGCGCCGTGGTCTGCGGTTGACGTCGATTAATCACACGCGTACACGCACATCGGACCTCTCGATCGGCGTACGCGTTGTGCGTGTGGGCGAGCGTATGCGTGTGTGGTGTGGTGCGCATGTTGCGAGCAACGACGCGGCGGTGACTTGCAGCTACGCCCGCCGCCTATCATATTAACGTGTAATTGAAAGATATCCGGCCGGAAAGCGGCGCCGTGATTTTTTGTGGTGTCACTACGGACGGTTGCGCTCTGCGGCGAACGATCGCGGGGTGACTTGCACCCCGCTCGAGGCGCGACCACTCGAGCGGAATCATGTCGTCTCATCTCTGCGAGATCCGAGTGGGCGACACCCGTTATTTAGTCCTCGATCCGCCACCTGAGGGCATATCCTAGGACTAGGGTTGAAACTTTTGACAACGGTTGTCATTCGCAATGCTGGATACACGCAACGCTTTGTATAAACTTGATATGATTCCCTTCTGACAAAAAAAGAACTGTTTTGTTATATTATACATATTATGACTATACATATTATGACTATTAGTTAAAAAAAGCTAGGAACATATGGAGTACTTTAATATTTGTATATCTATCAAATGTTTTATTTATTTCGTAAGATTAAATCTGTAACTTTTGACAATTTATATTTATCATACCGATCTCTCTTTCGGACGTCAGAATAATAATTATTGGTTCGCATAGTTGTTGCAAGCCAAAAGGCACAAGACTAACCGCACCGATGTATCATAAAGCCGTACCACGTGTAAAAGACCGTGACACCGTAAACAAAGACGCTCTTCGCGTTATTAATAATAACCGGTGATCTCGCTTCGGACGGAGGGTAGGCTGCTTGGCTTCTCGGCGTTTAAGTTGGCTTCGGCTCGCGACGGGGCCGCCGTCATACGAAAACATTCCTCGTCGATTTACTTTCGGGAATCCACGCATAAACGTTGACGTATTTAAGGGAGGCTGTAAACCATCTATTTCGGTGTCTCGGATGCCGCGGATGGTCGCAGCGTCCCGGATTATAGCTCTACGTGTGAAACGGCGCTAACATTGTGGAATTTTCACTCACTTCCCGGGTGACCTTCCATTACCGGAAGCGTCGCGACATATTTACGAGGCGTTCCATTATTAGAACGTTCAAACACGAATTTTCCGTGAGATCGAACTCGTTGTGTGAATAACATGCATTTATGAAGTTTCAACAATCTCAATGTTTTCTTTTTTTTTTATATTTTTACTTCAGTCAGTGACAAGATGCTTATTTTGTTAATACTTTTTTACTCTCTTATATGGAAAAAAATAAATTATCATCGGTATGCAACCGGTACGCGTTAATCAATTAATAATATAGGCAATGTCAGTTGATATATAAGTTTCAAATCACTATATCAGGCTTGCGAAATGCAGAAAATTCGTCACACTTAGGCGCGATAAGACTCGAGGCCGGCCGACGAGAGCTTCGTTTTATATGCCTGGTGATGTTCGTCCTCGTCTTACAACGGCTGCCGGTTATATCAGAATTGCTATCGCTACCAGGAGGAGGCCTCGTCGCCGGGTAGATTTGCTGGTTGAACGGCGGTACGACAAGGAGTTATGATATCGGCGCCGATCGCCGCGCCAAGTGAAAACACGGTGGCGTGAGTAATATACAACCATAGGGCGATCTTTTATAGTGCAGGAGACCCCGAAGGGAATGATCCGCGGCTACGTCTCTCGCGTAGATAGGATCGTTCTAACCTCAGCGGGAACGAGAGGAGAGGGTCAAGGAGGAGCGAACCCGGAGAGTAGTCAGCGGAATCTAGTCGTAAATAAAAGCAACGTCTGCTACCAATGCCAATCCCGCCTCGACTTCGTCGTTATGTTACGTTGTTGCGTCTTCTAACGGAGAGTTTAATATCGTGCCGATAACACCAAAATTGATACGCGAGACTAAAAAAAAATTTGCTAATCAGTTATTTGGGAATAATAAAGCTGCGAACGTCTCATCTGCTAAATAACATTCCTTCTCGTCTTTCGAAAAAACAAGAATGGGATTTAAGGAGTCAATGTTTTTTTTTTGCGAGATTTATCAAAGAGAAAATTGTGGTTCTATTAAATATACCTTTAATGATTATATTAAATGCCAAAGATTCCTAGAATTAAAATGTAATTTGGTAGATCGTAAAATTATATCTCGAGGCGAGACTCGAGCTTCCACCGGAGATTGACTAACAGCAAATCGATCTCTGAGAAAATGCACATAACTGGCCTCTGATCACCTCGACAAGGAGGCGGGACACTGAGAAGCCGCGCACATCTAACTCGAGCGGCATCATTCAACGCTCATTATTCGTATTCCGTTAGACGCGAGCAACGTCCGCGGAAGAGCACGCGGAACGTCCGCAGGAGCAAATGACAGCAGGATCGGCGGGTGAGCGAGCGGTCAGGAAAGTGGCACGGCACGGCACGACCAGCTGCCGAGTAACCGAGGCTAAACTACGTCCGCGTGTCTTCCACCAGCGCGAAGGTAATCAGGGCCACGGGGTCTGCCATTACCTGCGGGCATTATCGGCGATGGTAGTAGCGCAATATGGTAGCCGGTGGCCCCGGTATCGCGGTAGTGCGATGCGGCGGCCGGATTCGAGCCTATCCCTTTGCTCGCTATACTCAAAGAGGGAGAGTCCGGTCCGTTCACCCCCATTGGTTGAGGGATACCGGATGCGGTGCGTACGGCGTAACGTCGATTAGGCCGGCAGATTTGAATGATTAGACCGGGGGGTCTCGACGATTCGGAGATCTCGCCGGTGGTCAAATAACAGCCTCCGGGGCCGCGTTCGTGACCAGTAGGCACGCATATCCCGGCGGGTCGATAGTTCGTCCGCTCGGCCGAAGAAGATGCGCCGAGAGTCCATACGGGATGCACGCCGATGTACACGTAAGTACACGTGTCTGATTGAACGACCTAGCCGTTCTCCAATCTTATCCTCCTCCTCCTCCTCCTCCTGCTGTTGCATCTCTCGACAGGTGCGTTGGCCGGGGGATTAATGCCCGATCGTCCCGAGGATCAAAAAAGCTCTTAAGGCGAGCTAACCGCGCGCCGTATACGGTAATTTCGTGAATACAGCCCCGCTTGATTCCCTATCCACTTTTAATCGTAAGTGCGAGAAGGCGAACGTGTTTATGGGAGTGGAGAATAATTTCAGGAGGCGGAGGATATATGCACGTAAAGAAACCGTACCGGATGGATCAATGGAAATGATTTACACATCGAATGCAATTAAATCAGAATTTAAGCGATTGAGTTGTAAAATAGCTTCCCTCATTAGAATATTATAAAAACATAATCAAATCGCTTATTTCACTGCTGATCTTTCTATCAATTTTTACAGTTTTAAAAAAATTGATTACTGATACATTTATTATATTAAAAAAATACTTTACACTATAATATAATAATGAAATTATTTTCATCTGAATTTGATTTATAATTGAAGATATTTACAATTTTTGCAATTACGTGAATTTTCTCAAACTTTTTATTTCTACATGTTGCTCCTTACATATGTACGTACCAACAATAAATTTTTATATATTTTTTTAAATATCATTAAAAAAGGATATGAAAGAGACATTAAAAGTTGCAACATTAAACGAAATATTATTTATTTTCGCGTTTCGCGTACTTGTTGCACTTAAGCGTCGGAAGCAAACGGAAGTGGGGTGCGCAATCTGAGATTGAAGCTCGCGGAACCCTGGCTCGTTACGTCGCGGCAACGTTAAGCCCGTCCTAATTAATCGAGAGAACTGAATTATGCGAAGGTGCACCGGAACTTACGTGTTCCGTCGCGTACTCGTAACGCGCGCGGGACGGCGCGTTGTCGCCGCTTCGCGCCGCCTCGTTTATCTTCTCGCCGACGTCGAGTCGCGAAAAGGCCTTCGTCCATTGCCGCAGTCCCAGCGCGTCCGCGGCGTCGCCGCGCAGGCAATCAGACACCACCCGCTGATCGCGAGGGGACACGTGGAATCCGTTCGCCAGTCCCGTCTGCTTTCTTGCGCTCGCGCCGCCGTCGCCGCCGCCGCTTCCTGAAGTCTCCATTACCGCATCACCGGCGTGAGAAACGCGCGGCTCCCCGGCGGCGTTTGCGTACGCGTCATTAGCGTTCCTCAGGGTTGACCGCACGTTGACGGTGGGAGAATCGGAAGAGCGGAACGTTTCCCGCTTCCACGACTTGTAGACGAGATTTCTGGAACGCGGCACGCGCCATTTGTCCAGGTTTTCCCTGCTGTACGGATAAGGATCGCCGGGTAATCGTACATAATCGCCATCGATGATGTATTCCTTGCTCGGATCGTCGTCAACGTTCGGGTGAAAGGTAGTGCTATTGTCGCTTGAATCTCCCTTAGTCGATTTCACTGTCGAATCGCTGTTGATTGAATGATTGTTGAAATCGACATGTGTGGCGCCTTCGTCATGTGAGTCCGCATAATTGACGTATGGCTCCTCGTAACGTTCCGTTTTTTCATTCTGTACGTCGTCATCTTTATGATGAGATTTATCCTTCTGCGGAAATTCTGAAGACGCGATGGAATCTGAGAGATTCTCTTTACGACCAGTACTTTGCAACTGGTTGATGGAAATTTCCATTTCCTTGTCCGCGATAATGTCTAACGTCTTTGCAAGATCAGCGTCCGCTCGCTCCTGATCGCCACTTGGAACTGTTTGAGATTCAGCAGATAAAAGAGATCGGTTGCTGTTCGATGTATCATTCGAATCGGGTTCGTTAGACTTTCCCTCATTTTGGCTCTTTGAATCTATCTGTTGTTTATTCCTCGATGTCTCATCGAGCGTCTTCTCTGGCACGGAATCTTCAGGATTCGTAGAGAAGGCTGACGCGAATCCTGGATATTTCGTCGGCATAATTTTATTGACAGGAGCAAGGTGGCTTGAAAGTGATTCAACAAGTCGTAGGCTGGTGCTATTCGTATGTTGATGCACGTGACGAATCTGTGTGCTCATAGTGTGCATTTTCTTGCTGATAGAGTAATCTTTCGATTTTCGCGGAGACCCAACTGGCTTAATCCCTACAGATATCGGAGGCACTTGTTCGAAGTCCGACGGCTCTTTGTCTTTCAAGTCGTCCTCGTTGGACCTTACAATTTGCACGTCCAACTTGGGCTGTGGCGCTTCCGGACGGATAGATACCATTTCCAGGTTCTCCACGTTATCCGCTGACAGATAATTCTCCCTGACGTCCGGGATTGACTTCATCGCGAGATTCTGCCAAGCGGTGATCTCGGCATCCGAGGCCGCTTCTTCCGGAATATTGTACTCGTTATCGACGATTATCGTCTCCGTCACCGTGTTCGGGGATGTTCTCATAGTTTCTCGGAGCTCTGTAGAAGTCATATACGAGCTCGCGTCACCGCTATCTGGTCGCGCCGCAATAAAATCCTCGCTCAAGCCGGTCTGACGCGACGGAGTCGAGAGGTACTCCGCGGTCGTATCTCTCAGGCTCGACGCGTCCGACTTCTTCGGCGAATCGCTCGGCGCTGGGACAGCGTCGCTCCTTACGGCCGTGGTATCGCCACTCTCGACGATCGAAGAGGCGTTTCGAGGCTGCCCCGCGCTTCCTCGCCCGGAACTCGCGGTCGCCGGCGGAGCGATATCCGACTTCGGCTGTTTCAGGTTCACTCCCCAAAGCCGCTTCGTGACGTATTGCTGGCCCTTTTCGGCGAACTTATCGTTATCGTTCCCCGCCTCGGCGGCCGGTTGTTCCTCGGCGAGTTTCACGCCCCACTCGTAACGAAACACCACGTCGGGGTCGCTCCGCGGGTTATCGTCCGCCACCATCTCCGCACGGTTCTCGCTACTATCGACGGATACGGATTCGCCGTCCGTACGTATTACCGGCTTCTTCTTCTCCTTCTTGTCCTTCCTCTCGTCCTTCTTCTCGCGCTTTTCGGGCGCGTTGGGCTCTCTGATGGGCGGCTTCGAGTTCTTAGGACCGAAACCCACGAGCGCGCGCGTTGACACGCCGATGTATCTATTCAGGGCGCACAATCCCAGCAACGTGGGCTGTTGGTTCGTCCGCTGCTGCGATGGCAGGCGATAACAGTGTCTCGGGCTCGTGTAACAACGATAATGCGAGGCCGCATCGAGATCGTCCCTCGCCGCAAATTCGATCGCGCCGCCGTTTCTCTCGGATCGATACATCTTGCCGGAATCCTCGCGCCACGAGGAGTCGGGCTCGATCCCGCGCTCGCAAGCTTTCCCAGCCGCAAAACGAATCGACTGCGACGCAGCGTAAATCGCCGACTGTTGAATCGTGCACGCACGTCCGCCGTTCGCCGCGTCACGCTTCTCAGCACGGATGTTCCCATACTCGGACCTCGTCGTCGATTGCGCCGCGCAAAAGTTAGCCAGTTTTTGATTAACGACATCGACCTTGTCTGAGGTGTCCGCCGGCCGCATGGGAGCCGCTATTTCTGATCGATTGAATGTTGTTGCCGTTGCTGCACGAACGACGTTCGCGGTGTCAGCCTTGCGGCTTTTATCCTCTGCAACATGATTTCATCCATGACTTACATCACTTGATATTACGTGATAAAATTCTGGGTCTTTGTAATTTTTCAAAAGCAAATATATACCTTTGATGCACATTATCTAATATCTTACTGTAATTATAATTTTAAATTTGCATAAGTATTATTATATTATTTTTGTATTGAAAATATAAAATACATTTATTAAATATATCGTAATGTAAATAATGGCAAAATAATATATTAAATTGTCACAAAATGAAGAGAAGATTTCGCTGTAAATTATATTATTTCTGATCAATCGTTGTTTTATTAAGTCAATAGTTAGTGGGAGACACGCTCATGTATAATATCGCATGCATTGTACGATTTGATTTTTGCATATTACATACATGCATTACGTAATAGTGAATGGCAAAAGTAACCTCTGTCCCAAAAATGACATCAGTGGCTAACCTGCGGATTTATTAAAGATGTCCTTCAGCCAAGTCAGAAATCCACCAACAGTCTTTTCATGAGTATGCAAAATGGATGCTGCGTAAACAGAAACTCTGCGTTATAAATGCCATTATCATTTGTAGGATCGAGTGCACGATATTTTACGACACTCGTGTAGTACATTTATAATGGTCGGCGCGTGATTGCATTAACATTTTAGGGTGACTGACCGACAGATAAACTCCTTCGGGATTTAGAATTGAATAACCTTCGTACGACATTGGTTGGATCGCACTGTCGCCGCAGCATCGCGCCCCTCGAATACGAAGAATATGTGCGCATAGTTCAATACAAATAATACTGGCTGAATTTTGATAGTAGATTTTTTGGATCTATTTGATCCAATTTATTAAAAGTTTATTAAAAGATCTTATTGACAAGCTCGCCTGATTGTCTTTTACCGAGCCCGTCTCTTCTGCTTGTTCCTTGTCTGATTTGCCGTATTTTGTTTATCAAAATATGAATAAAAGTGCGAGTGGAGGCAATATTGCCTTGATTTAAATCTATTTTTAAAATTGTAAAAACTAAATTTTGCTAAAGAAGTTAAAAGCGTCATAATTTAAATTATAATAACTGCTACTATACTGAAGTTAAATTTATATATAATTATTATTTATATCTAATAAGTTACAAATTCTGTAACTAATAATTTATTAATAAAACTATTGATTAATTTAATACTATTAAATGTACATTTATTAATAAAATATTATTAATTAATTTAATTTTAAAACTTACAGTATTTTCTCTCTTTATAAATAATTTTTATTCTTGTCGTCTATATTACAGCTTATTTGTAATAAACATAAATTACTCGTCTGCAGTAAAAGTACTGACTAGTATTAAACGATAAGTCTTAATTATTCTTAGCAACTCTATAGAGGCAAGTTGACTCTCAACAAAAGCACGAACTAGACTTCGGTTAATCATTGGCAAAACTTTCCTTCCCATGAGACACGAGACCCTCCGGCACCGTTAATGGCGTAATGGATCAAAGATGAGCAGAAAGATTGCACACGCGTACTTTACGAGTCATGTAGCCACGAAGAAAGTGTCATCTATTTTTACGATTATTTATTAGCTATTAAATTCAACATATCTCTCATTTTAATTTTAACTTAAAAAATGTAAAGCTGTTAACGTAAAGATCGGAAGACTATAATATTTCAAATTTTTCGCGTGCAAGTAGTTTCGATCGAAAATTAGGATAAAAAAGGGACTTTTCCAGGCAAGAATGTTACGGGCGAAGGATCGTGGCTGGCTCGCGTTGTCGCGTGAGAATGGCCATGGCCATTCGGGCCACGTACCTTGATAACCGTTAATAAAAGCTTAAAGGACATTATCGTAAGCATTCGTCGGGACATTAAAAAGCGCACGTGCCCTTAACGGTAGGCCGTAGATGCAATTTTAAACAGCCATTTCCGACCCTCACTACCAATCGTCCTGGCTGACACATGTCCCCGATGCTGTTACATGAATCCAAGGGATCCGCCGGACTGAATACCAATCGTCCGCCACAATGCAAGCGAAGTAAGGGCGGTAAGGATGAAGGGTGAACGTTTGGTTCCGTGTATTGTCTTTATTAATGCGATCCATATTCGAATATGACTTGATTACGATCAATAACCTGCAGTTAACTTATTAAATTATCTCGAGAATTAAATTAATTTGTTAATACGTAAACATATTTTAGACAAAATTCTTTCTTTTATCGCTTTAAGAGCTTTCGAATTCTCTTGTGTCCTCTAAAACAACGATATTTATTTGTCCACGAACGAAATTAAGGCGCGTTATTGCCGAAAAAGGGACGTGATCGAGGCGCGGGCGGTACATCAGCCATAAATTCCCCGTGGGTCCCCAGCGCCAAATAGCGGGTGTCGCGCCGCAATGCCAATTGTATAAATTGGCTATGACAAACTTATCGTTTTATACGTGCGCGACTGGGAAGATTTCGTCCGGTCGCGAGGTATACAGGCGACGGGACAGCACTTTTCCCGGCGTAGGAATTCGGTACAGGTGCGCGTTTTGGGTCCCGCATGGTCGTTTGAGACATCGTTCCCCGGGGGGCCTCGTGCGAGAACGTGACGTTCCACCTTCGGCCGCTCACGTACATACACGGGGCACGCCATTGGGTTTTGTCGTGCGATTCGTCGCGTACGACGTCTTGCCCGCCGCCGCTCGTAAATCCCGACTTTGCCGGAGACGAATGCTCTGTTAGGGATTGCCGGAGAACGACCTACACGATGAGATAGGATGAAACATATTTTTCGTACGTCCTCATATACAAGCGCGCAAGCTTGTATATGAGGACGTACGATTTCGCATTTTATTAAATTATCAATATGTACATACAATTATTATGTTAATAATTTTTAACAAGATAATTTTATGTTGTAGAATATTTTATGATGACAGAGAAAGTTGCGACGGATTCGAGATTATTATTCATTCAAGTTACTAATTTCTATAGTGATGTGCCACTATATCTTCTTAGATAATAACTTGTAAATATAAGAAGTAATAGAAGAATGATAAGTAATTACGTTAAATTCTATTTTAATGCATATTTAATTACGCATCCGATTTAGTTGTCAACATCCGTAATGTTCGCCGATTTATTTTTACCCTAAGATGCGTTCGCAGAATCATTTTCGGCGCTCGGCGACCAGAATCACGGCGATTAATTTCAGGTCTGTCGTCGACAATCGTTTACGTTCGAAAACGATTTACACCGAGCGTTTACCCGCGCTAAGAGCTTAAAGCGCGTCGGGTAGGCAGGGTGAGTTTACATTCAGGGGGCGACGCGTGGGGTTGAAACCGCTCGTTTATCAGTAACCGACTCTAGTGAAAGCGACACCGAGGCACTACGCCGCACGAATAACAATCCCCCTTACCTCGTGCCACGAGGCACGATGTGAAAAGTATTGCCGGCGCGACGTCACCCCGCGCGAACATCGCCGACGGACGTTATTTATCCGACCCGGCGCGCTCTCTTTTTTTTATTTCCAATTCACTTAGCCGCCAACGAGGAATTTCCTGGACTTGAAAAAAAAAACCACGGGTCCGCACGCCGAAGGAGCCGCTCCGCAGAATCGCAAACGCGTCTCCGCCCCTGGAGAAACGTCAATTTTGATTTCCGTCGATTTTCCAGTAGCACGATTGCGTTTGAATGTTTCAGGAAGGCGCCCTCAGGAGTAACGGATGTCTGAGAGATCACGTTATGTGCATATAATACTTAAAATAAAATATATTATAATGTCGAACCTATATATATAAAAATCGATGCCGATTAATCAATTTGGATTTTTTGCTCTGAAGTGACGATTAATTATCGTGCATTGCGAGGCTTTAGGGTTAATCTCGTGTGACCGATAACCGGTGATCCGCCGGCGCATCATTCACCCTGTCGACGAGTAAAATTGAGTTCGACGACTAGCTCTCGCGCGAATCTCATCTGGCGGGCACCGAATTCAAACCGAAACGGGGCATCTTCTTGTCGACCTATTTTGCAAGTGTCGTCGGTGCGCCGGGCTAATTTGTCAGTTGTCGAGTTAGCGTCCTCCCCCGGGGATTTCCCCACCGGAGCCGAGCCCCGGCCCCGTCGGGACCGTAATCAACCGGTGAATATCTAAACTGCAGCCTCCGTACTCGCCCCCTTCTCTCCTTGCCCCGCTCATTTATAAAGAAGAGACTACTTCGAGACAGGAAGCGCGATTGATTCGTACCCCCACCCCAATCTCACCCCGAATCTTCTCGCTCTAATGCCTGTACCGTTTTTATTTAGGCATTGAAAAAAGCCCGCTCATTCGACTCAGGTGTTGAAACTCTAACTTGGGCGGAGGCTGTAAATATTCGTAATTTTAAATAAGAGAAAAGGATAATTAATTTTGAATAATTGAGCACAAAATAAAAGAGAGTAATATTTGAGAAAAAAAGATGCTTAATGCTGAGAAGCATTATCATTGAGGTCACTTACGTAGAAAGCCCGAATATACGCTTCTTTTTATTTCAAACGCAGAAAAGCAGTGTGAAAGAGCACGGTTAAGAGGAGCGGGCCTAAAGTTAAACTTCCCAGTAAACGGGAAGAGCCGCACACAGGGACAATGCCCTCCATCCTTTTTCGTGAAGGCTGAAAAAGCGGAAGCCAAGAGAAGATATCCCCCGAAAAGTGGCAGTGCTCCGTGCACATGGCAGGTGGATTTTCTCCGTTGTCACAAGAGTGGCTCAGTGCGAGCGTGCCACTTTCCTCGTAGCGGATTTCGGAGGCTTTGTAGTTCATCCATTTCCAGACTTGAGCCCCTCCCTCCCTCTCTCCCTCTCTCCCGTGCATTATTTAAATAAACAAGCAGGGCGGCGCGCGGGGAAGATTGGCTGCTGCTTATACACCGTCTCTACCGCCTTCTCTGTTTCTCTATAATAAATGCGCTTGTCGACTCTCCCTCCACTTTCTCGTTTCCTCTCTCTCTCTCTCTCTCTCTCTCTCTCTCTCTGCCACATTTCAACTCTCTTTCTCTTCTTCGCCTCCTCCCTCGCCGTCGCTCTCGCACGCTCGAGAGAGCGCGCTCTCGAAACGTTACAGTGACGAACAATTATCCCTTCCATCGCGGAGGCGCGGCGTGAAAGCCGGTAGAAGTGACAGGCAAGGGGGTGCCGGCAGCGGGAGGAGACCCCTGCACCTTGTAATGAATTTTAAATTGGCCCGCATTCATAATGCAGCCCCGTTGACAGTCGGGATGAACCGGAGATGACAAAGTAAAACGGCCGGGTTAATATTTCCGGGCGCGTGCGCCGGCGAATTACCTTGCTACGACTACGACCACGACAATGAGGATGACGACGACGATGACGATGACGAAGACGAAGACGAAAACGACGGCGGATAGATCTCGGCGGATAGAAGGAGAGTGCCGTGCGCGGGATAGAAGCGCGAGATAAAGCGACGGGCGAAATTGTTTCGATACATAATGCTATCTGCCGCGTATGATCGGCGGAATAACAGCGGTTTCCCCGGCCCGGTCCCCGGCCGTTCCGCAGGTTCGCAGACCCGATCGTAGATCAGCAATTAGCCGCCTTCCTACGTACGTACGTACAAAGTTACGAGATGCGAGATCGGAGACGGCGACCGGCCTCGCCCAAGCGTAACGCGTTGTCGCACGCTTTCATCGCGGGGTACAGTAATTAGCGATTTTTGCATAAAGCCCCGATACCATCGGGCATCGGCCCATGTCGCGTCTGTGGTATAATCTCGGTCCCCGGGACCGACCCTAAAAGCCCGCGGAATATTTATTATCGCCCGCCGCGATCGGCATCTCTCCGTCCTGGCGCGCCGCCGCGACGTTTCCCCGTTACACATTTTTTTCCGCGACCGTAAATTATAACATATCGGACGGGATCGAGTCAAATTGCCGTCCTCACGATGAATTTAC